AAAATTTAGACTAAAAATCATACTGAATTTAACTTTCTCTTCATCAACTGTAAGATTTTCTTATGGGCATAAATAATATATAACAACAAGATTCTTTAAGACTGCAACAACCAATTTGGATGAACACTTTCATTGAATTCAACTTTGGGTTGGATTATAGTTTACCCAAAAATATATTTCTTTTTCTGTAGTAAATACAGTGATACTATTAAACCTAAAATATCAAGAGGTTTCCCTGTGTGAATAAATAAAGTGCTCCAAATAAGAATACAATATGCTCAAGGAACTATCAATTCAGTGGATTACTAGTCTGCCTTTTATAGACCCACTGTTGTGGAGGTACGTATCTCACAGTCCTTGGTACAGTAGGAGGACATGTAGGTAGGTGAGAGCGATCTGACTTAGGAGGTTGGAGTGTGTCCTTAGTAACTGGTGAAGGTGAAGCAGATCGAGTGTTAGGTTGCTTCCAGTCTCTGTATGCCATGGCTATTAACAGGTACAAGGCACCTATGAGTTTTTCCACAAATATAACCACAGATTGCAGGAATGGTCTCAAGTTTCTGAAAAATAAGCCTGCTTCATGAATGACTGCAAGCACAAGATGATGCGAGTCTCTAAGCAAAGTTACCAAACCAACTATCAGAGTGATCACCAAAATTAAACAAAATCTGAAAGAGAAAATATCAATTAATTGCAGGTCTTGATATATCATCCATACGTTCATATAATGCTAAATAAAACATTTTGCCATTAATGATATATCTCATTCATAAAACATCTTAATTACCTGACTGCTTCTAGGATGTTGCTGATAGTGAATGTTGCTGTTATGGCAGACCAAACTAGAGCAAAGTTTAACTGTCGCACTTGATCCCACCAATCCATAAATTGTTGGCTGATTGTCTCTAACTCATGTCCTAGCTCACTGGATGACATTTGCCTCCTCCTTTTGCTGCGAGCTTCTGCAGTTTCATAATCTTGTGGATCAATACTCCTGTTATAGATCATACGAATTAAAAGAGACAGGTCATCTCAATTTGTGGTATGTAGTAGTAATGTTTTTCATATGATACATTATTTCAGCAGAAATATTAAAAGAAAAAACAATAAGGAATGACACATTCTAACATAAAGCTGGAAATACCTTACAATTTGGAGTGAAATTTTCAAACCAAAAAGAGGCTGCACAGCAACACCAGTGATGACAAACCAATAATGGCCTGGGATGGGTGGCTGGAAAAGCAACACCCACAAGCAGTAGCTAAGCTGAATGGCTGTGGGTGCTGAAAATATAAAAAAGTAAGAAGTATGTTGTTTTCTATGTTGAAAACAACATAGATTCTGCAGTTTATTGATAAGTCACCCCATGAGGATGAATCCCTCACCATGTTTTTCATATATCAATGGCTGTCCTCCAGGACAGAAGGTAATTGAAGTTACAAAATGGCAAAGTTAAAACTTATAGAATATTGTGTTTTACTATAAAGGCAAGCAAAACATGAAACAGTTTTTGTTACAGTCTACACTTTCATGATCACAATAATCCTTTAGTGACAACCTTTGCTTAACAATGTGTATCTCCTTCATTTATAAACTTTGTACATGACATGGTACATGAAAACTTTAGGAACCTTAAACTTTGCTCTTAAAGAAACAACAGCTAAGGAATAAAGAACATAACAATATTTACCAGTTATGTTGATCCATCTAGTACCTTCCTGTACCCCTGGGATTTTTCTAATAATGATGTTCAGCTGTTTATTGAAGTCCACTTCCCACTCATCTACTTCCACAATATCTCTGTAGCTGCCTAGATTTTCCACCCATTTTCGTTCGTCTACCCAGCCAGAAAATATGCGGCCTCTTAGGCAGCTTTCAATATACGCAAGACCCTCTGGTAAAAATTTGCATTTGACAAGTGCCCTTCGAGTTGATCCTCTTCTCCTTGATGATACTGAAGAGTCTGAATCCCTTCCGTCCCTCTTAAGTTTCATGCTCTTGAACTTCTTCAATTTCTTCTTCATTTTAGTGGGTCTCAAAGATGCGGACTGACTATCTGATCCTGACATGAGACTAGCATCAACAATGGACTCAGATTCAGTGTCTGCATATGACAGTTCATCATACTTCAAGTGTAAGAGCCTCTGAGTCACTGGAACTTGCAAGGTCTCTGCAAACATCTCTGCCTTACTATCCATTCTAACGTCTTCACTCTGACTAGCCACAGCCTCCTGCATGTCAGCTGTTACAACAGGAACAGTAAATCTTCTGTGATGTAATCTCTTTCTCCTTGCCTCTTTGTTATCACTGTCATTTATACATTTTTTAACTTCCCCAACACCTAAGTCAACATCCTCTTCATATGGGGCACTTATGCAACTTGCTGTTAGAGGAGGAGATATTGATAAACTTTTTTCCCATGCAGTGCAGGACATATCTTCCAGATTCTCATTCATCTCACTGCCTATTTCACCTTCCTGTGACATTCTGGCTCTGAAAC